TCTTGGAACAGAGACCATCATCTTCACTGAAAGAATGATCGGCATGTAAAAGATGCAGCTGCAAAAATCACACTGACAACAGCTCTGGACAACACTGGTTAATAACACTATAGGCCAACTTTACCCCTCTGCTGTAGACTGGATTCAACCATGTCTTGTTAAAGAAAAAAATGAGCTAAATTAGAAAAGCCTTATCAGCACACCCAGCTTCACGTATTTGCCTTTCATTATAGAACCTGTTTTCCATGGAAGTTAACTTCATCTGCAGCCATTTGGCAGATGCAAGTTTAACATCTTCAGTTGCTCTTGGTTCTCTGTTTATTCTGCTAAGAAAAAAAAAATATAATCCCATGTGTCCTTTGATATTCTGCTTCCAAGATGTATTAGGTAAATAATTAAGGTTCATTATCAAAATACTTATCTATTAACTTTTTTTTTCGAAAGCTAAGTGCATACTACAAAGCTCTGTCCATGCTGATAGCTTGATCTGTAGCATGAAAAACATCTCCTAACCAAGGAAATTAATCAAGTAGGTATGTCAAAAGCCAAAGGTGAGTTTTTCTTACTAGAACACATCTTTCCTACAAGCTATTTACACAGAGTGGCCAGACAAAATGTTATTGTTCCTCCTCACTGGAACACTTCAGTTGTGCACCTATATATATACACGTAGATGTACAGGAAGCATTGACTGTCCTAAACACTATTATAAAACAAGCCCTGTAAATACAGTAATTTATTTTTTACAAAATGAAAGCATCAATGCATTGATCTAGACAGTGGGGTCCTTCAGTGGACTACACAGTTACTTTGAAAGAGAAGAAATACATTAAGTCCTAAAGCATACCAAGTCTTAATTTGGGAGAAAATCATTGGCTTCTCAAAATTAAGATGTTCCTGCACTTCCACCTTAGTTGAAGATTCAAATCAGCTAAATATTTCTTTTGCCAAGAATAACTTAAACTATTACTCCTGCAAATACAACTTAAGTCTACAGTCATAATTTTAAAGTTAAAATTTATAAACACTAAAATCTAGGAATATTAAGGCCATGTGCTTACAAATTATTAATTTTGAAACAAGCTATAGCTGTTCACATGATTTAATGAGGATGGCCTGAAAAGGTTTGCTTTTCTAAGCAGAAAAAGTTTGATTTGCTAGCTTAAGCAAGCAGCGTGGCAAAAAATGGTTACATGGCCATTGCTGGTCTTACTATGAAAAACCAATTGGTACCTCTAGGCATGATAAACTACATCTTATAACCCAACTAAGAATTGAGTAAAGCTGCCACTTCACTGAGGAACCTGCTGTACACCAATTTAAAGAGATATTTAATAGACCCCTCTTCTCTCAGTCACCCAGAACCAGGTGATGCCACAGGTCTTCAGGTACATGTGCATCTGATGTACCTGAATATAAAGTGCAGCAATTCCTGTCTCTGATGCTGTAAGCCCCTGAAAGTGTAGCTCCCATTATTTTCAAATATCTTTCAGTTCAAATTTATCACCATCGTATTTTGCATAGAAGATACATAAAGTTGATTCTATAATTTTACTGTTAGTCAAGGAAGTGTCAGATACTTAAAAACCATGAGCAATGTGAACAATACACAGCTTCTCCCTTTAATATGTATTTGCAATCTGTAACAGACTAGTTCGTTAGCATTCAGTTAGAATGTTATGTAATGGCTGAGGTATTTCTAATAAAAACAGTCTATTTCTGTTAGCCTGTTCTTCATAGACATAAAAGCTGTCTTCATCTGATTTTTATTACGACTTCATCTTCCTCTGCTCTTTATGCATTTTTTAAGACTTCTGTGCACCCGTTTTCATTTCACCAACACAGTATTATTTCCTCCCACCTCTTCACACAAATCTCAGCTTTTATTTTCACACCTGCTTTCACCCATGAGAAGTTTCTATGGGGTTTTGTGAAACCCAGACCCAGAAAAAAAAATGAGGGCATGAAACTGAGTGAAGAAAAAATTTGCTACAGAAGATGAACAACTGGTTCTACCAGTAAAACACCATTGGCAGTCCCGTCATTACAAGCCCAACATCCAACCCCAACTAGTGGAAAGGTGGTGCATTTTCAGGGCAGAGGGTTTTTTCCCCTCTCAAACCCTCCATTACGGTATAGGGCCTTTAAAGATGTCTCACTCTTTCTTCAATGGAAGAGGAATGTTTTTTCTTCGCTCGCATCTCCAATACACTATACAAGGGTTTATTCCTCTCCAAGAGCATGCTATGCAAGAGTTTAATCCTTCTGCAAGAGCTACCTTTTTCTTTTTATCTCCACATCTAAGCCTCTTATCCACACCACCCTTATATGGTATATTTAGACTACATTTTCCACCCTCTCTCCACTTCCACATCACTCCCATTAGTTAGCCTGGAAAATATTCTGGAACAAAGGGCTTTCACTTTCAGTGGCTTCAGACACCCAGTTGAAGCCAACCCCACATACAACATATCCACTGCTCTGATTTACATTTCTTCTCTTAATTGACATATAGCATTCACTCAGACAAAACAACAAAACCTACACGAGAGCTCCCTTCTGAACTGCATCAGCTCTTCCTTGCTCACTCTGCCCTGTTTCACTTTCCCTAGCAGGATGGGGGGGAAACAGGACCTTGAGAAGATGCATACCATAAATCTATATGATCGAACAAGGACTAAAGCAACCCAAACTAAAACTAATGTAACTATTTCGCTCTACAAAAATCTAGGGCTCCTGTTATGAGGCCTAAATGAGTAGAGAAGTTATAAATTGCTACTAAACTGCAAAGAGACAGAACATTTACATTAGCAAGACTCATAGAAGTGACTGTGTATTGATTTATAGGTATCTTACAAGCTATAATTTACTAAAGTGATAAACTTTATGCAGGAAACATCTATACACTAAGGCAGAATACTAGGTGAGAGTAGAGTCCTAGTCTCCACACACAAGCACTGGCCAATGAGAGAACTAAATTCTCACTTCACTTCCAACAGCCACCTCTTCAGCACGCATCTCCACCAAAGTGGTCATACTCCTCATGCACTGAGCACAACATTCTGAGGGACAAATTGCCTTTTCACTGAACATTCACCAAATTAAAAGAACTCCCAAAACTTTGAGGTTCTTTAGCCCCAAGGAGACTGTGGCAGAATTACATTAAGACACCCCAAAATTAACGTTGAAGAAAAATTATCTAAACTACGTAATTCAAAGAAAATTGACAGCTATTTAGCTCCTGACAGTCAGTATTAAACGGTAATCCTTTTGTTTCTCACTGATGGACAAATGAGATCATGTCCTATTTCCTCCCCCCTTCAAAAGCAGTTTCTTGTCTGAGCAGAGCTCTTAAGACAACAGGTAGGCCTGCTACCTCACTGCAGAAGAAACAAAGTTATTAAGAATTGGAATCCTGTCCCTTCTGTTGGAAATAATGCTAATTTCTACTAACCGATCTGACACCAGTAATCAAAGAGCGACAAGGAAAAACGGTCCCGCCTCAATGATACAGAGTTCAAGGCCTTTCACAAAGGACAAACTTACAAAATGCATGTGCAAGACATAAAAAAGAAACAGAATAAACAAAATGTTTCATTCAATGCCTAGTGCCACGCTCTCATGCACGCTCCCCTTTTCCCCATAAGGAGGGCCTGAACCAGAAACTATCTGAGCCATCTTTACCCCAAGATTTTCAACCTCTCCATCCCTCTACGCTGGCTCCCATTATGCCCGCTGCATTCTGCCCACTACAGACTAGCTGTCTGAATTTTAGCCGTGTCATCTAACCATGATCTCACGATCCTTTAAGGCTATCATTAGGAACACTCCGACTCTGCTCACCCCACTCCTACAAATCTTGTCCCTAGGAGCAGAAACATCACCTTCCTGAACTGTGCTTCACTCAGTCTTACATCAAACAACCCAGGAACAGCTTCCTATTGTACAATTCAAAAACTGTGCATGAATATTTCAGAATTAGAAAACGAAAGCGGCGTGCCCTGTATGTACCTTCAGCATCCTGTAAGAAAAGGCTCCCCTCCCCCCTCCGCGTTTCTGGAGGAAGAATCACAGCCACAAAGTGAGAGCAAACGCACGAAGGGGACCACACGTTTCTCGAGTAATCTCCCGAGAAAGAGAAGACACCCGGAGCCGTTAAAAAAAGAAAGGGGCGGG